TCCTAATTAGTGAAGAAACGCTTAGGGAAGAGCCCAGCCTGTTCGAAGCCTCTCGGCTTTCAAACAGGGCCTTAAGAGTCGAGTGGAGTGGTCGCTGAACGCCGCATCGAGACCACACGGCCTCACGCGGTTAAAATTTCTCGGTTAGGCTCTGCCTTCTAACGTCGGCATCATACGTCTGGCTGCACATTCCCCTCCTCCACATTTTTAATCAGCGAGCGACATAGTATTAATTTTTCTACGAAATTTTACTCTATTATCAAATTGGTTGTTTTCTTACTAATAACCTTTATTGCCAATAGGTGTTCATAATTTATGGCAATGCTGTGCTGTGTCGTGATAGTACAACCAAGTTAATTTAGGCTATTTCATAAAAGCACGTGTAAAGATCGCTCGAGCATAAATACTATAATTTCATGTCAGTAGAAATGCATTTAAGTCACGAAGCATCAACAGTAATGTGCAAAAATGTGTCATGGCAATTATTATTTAAATTAAAGCTTCGATTGCTTTCATTATTTAATTTTATGACACACAAAGCAATTTGTTGTGAATATTGTCGGCTTTTAAATTCCTGTAAAAGTGAGTACGCAGTTCACGCTTGACTTGAGAGGAACTCAAGTCACGAGACTTGAGAGGAACTCAACGATGGGGAAGCGGGGGCACTTAGGGAGGAGGCAGCGGTTGGGGGGAGATTTTTACATGTACCCCCTCTAACGCATTTAAATATACACACGCACTCACGCATGCCCTCGCTGGAAGGCAAAAAAATTCCTTAACAAACTGTGCAAAGTTGTTTACCATTCATTTCTTCGTGATATATTTTCATTCATGTTTTCGTGGTAGTTTTCATTCTCTATTCATTTATGGAGAATGTAACATAGCAGTGCTAAGTAATTTAAAATTGAATTTCAACTTTATTTGAACATGTTCCAATGAACTCATAAACAACATCACCATTTAGATCGCTTTATAAATTTTTACAACCATTCATTCTTTGTTATGAATGAGTTAAGCAAAGTTGATGATTTATTTATAAAGTTGATTTATGCAAAGTTTGTTATGAATGATTTATGCAAGGCTGAATATTGTTCACGACTTCCTATCTTCTCAAGCTTGAAGCCCTCACCTCTAATGCCGCAGACGTGGGGAGAAATTGGGGAGTCCGTGGGCAGCTGTGGTTAACGCTTGGGGAGTGGGGACACGAGGTACGCACACTGAGCTTGTACGATGTGTTCACACGCACACACAAACCCTTCCACTCTCATCCCCATAATGTCAGTGTATATGCGTAAATATTCCCTGTACGCACATGCCAATAAAAGACCTGCATTCCGTAAATATTATGTCACACACATATGTATAATATCCAGCACAATTACTTTAACAATTAATTCGTTCATCAAGAAATCGCTTTTTCGGTCCCTCCCCCGAATTCTTTGCCGCCAAACTGTGCGGGAAGAGAGAGGTCCCTCTTGAAACGCCAAGTGACTAATTGGCATCCCGTGGCCTTTTCAAAGTACTGTACGACAACCAAGCGATGGTGAAACGAATGTCAGGAATTCAAAATTTAGATGAATTCAATTATTTGAAATAACACGATCGTTCAAGTTGTAGTAAATGACAATTAAATATTACATTGTGCTGTTTATGCAATCATTCTCTTCACACTTTAAAACATAATTACGATTATCTCTTTGTAATCTGTACAAAAATTTTAGCGCATTCTAACTTTTATTTGGAAGGAAGACTCCATTACAACAAAAATCGAAGTGGAAAGAAAACCGCTCTGACTAAAGCCATTATTATTTCGGAACTCTGTTCGTGGGAACACGCATCATATAGCTTTAAAAGTTATGCATCTCGATTTTCCTCTTTAATTATCATATGAATCATCCTATTTACAATCACAGTAATAATTATTTGAATCAGTAATTCAGTATGACTGTAATTCAGTGTGCCGACTGTGACATTAATATTATAAATTATTAAGCGATTGGCAAAGTATTGTTGAAGGCTCCTTTTAACCATGAAAATTTTTTTACAGAATTTGAATAATACAAATTTAAATACATTTCTCAACCGTTTGTAATGAATTTATGACATTTAAAATTTCAAGATTGACATGAATGCTCCCATGATTGCCTAGTGCCATATAGGTTTGGAATTCAATATGCTATATTATAGCTCATTTAATTCAGTAATTTGCATTAAAATAATCGTTCGTGTGGTAGCAAATGGGAAATTTTATATTAAATTGTGCTGTTTATGCATTCATTCTCTTCATATTTTAAAACATTATTTCGATTAACTCTTCGTAATCATCCTAACGCATGATGCTCATTTACGATCACCTTAACAACATTTTCATATTATTGAAGATACATGGAAACATGCATTGTTAGTTTAGACAGTTTAAAAGACTCCGCAGTTTCAGACAAGGGCTTTGAAAGCTGATCGAAAGGAACTGCGAAGAGAAGAGGGAGGGAAGAAGGAATGTTTACCTTGAACGACAGAAGATTTATTGCCATATAGGATAGGCTGCGCCTACACCCGGAACGACAATGGGTCAGGTCTTGCTTAAATCTACGGAATTTTCACTCACCACTAATAATGTCGACTAATATCTAATGCTAAGAGAATGATTCAGAAATGCTTTGTGTAGAGATCAATGAAGAATAAATAGTTAAATTAACTTGTGTCGCGAAGATGTTAGAAAATGTTGTCGCGCTGGAAAAAGTCGCTCATTTTACGATCTTCATATGGTTTAAATTTTTTGTTCGTGATAAAAGTGGTAATACATAGTTTTCATAATATATCTTACTGTCCGTTAATTGAAAATAATTAGCCAGATCACCATTCCAAATTCCAGACTTGTGTCTTATTTAGGAGGAGAGTTATTGGTTGCCTTCATTGTTAAGAACCCTCATAGGGATTAACGTGGCTGGCGGCCGCTCCACAGGGCTCTTAAGAGGGTAGAGGGTAGAATCTAAGTGAAAGTAGAATTAAAGTGAGGGTAGAATTAAAGTGAGGGAAGAATTAAAGTGAGGGAAGAATTAAAGTGAGGGTAGAATTTAAGTGAGGGTAGAATTTAAGTGAGCAGAATTTAGGTGAGGGTAGAATTAAAGTGAGTGGAAGTAGATGATTGGAAGTAGATGATTGGAAGTAGATGATTGGAAGTAGATGATTGTAAGTAGATGCAGTGTGTGTTGTGCAGTGTACTGCAGTGGGTAGATCAATATATCGGATCCTGATCTACCTGAACCCGACCTGCAGATCACGGAGATGATCTACTGTAGATCTCGACGATCTACCCTAGATCTGATCTATAGATCACTGATGACCTACCCCAGATCTCGATGATCTACCCTAGATCTGACCTATAGATCACCGATGACCTACCCTAGATCTTGATGATCTACCCTAGATCTGACCTATTGATCACCGATGACCTACCCTAGATCTCGATGATCTACCCCAGACCTCGATGATCTACCCTAGATCTCGATGATCTACCCTAGATCTCGATGATCTACCCTAGATCTCGATGTTCTGTTCTACCCTAGATCTCGATGATCTATCCTCGATACCGACGATCTACCCTAGATCTCGAAGATCTACCCTAAATCTCGATTATATACCCTAGATCACAACGATCTACCCTAGATCTCGATGATCTACCCTAGATCTGACCTATAGATCGGGGCAGGCGAGGCCTGAGCGCTGCAGATCATGGCCTTAGATCCCAGGGATCTCACTTTGGTGAAGATCTTTTTGTCCTGATATGGCACGTCGGGGGCGGATCTCCCGAGCGGATCTGCCGGATCCCAAAGACTCAAAACCCGTCGATCTTTTGTCAGTTTTTAGTATAAGTAAGAAATTTTGGAAGATTTTTATTGAAATAAAAGCTTGCAATGAATATTCAGGGTAAAAAAAAAGTATTCAGGGTAAGAAATAAATATCCAGAGAAGGAAAATAAATATTTAGGGTAAGAAATAAATATTAATGGTCAGAAAATAAGTATTCAGGGTAAGAAATAATAATTTAGGGTAAAAAAATATATGGGATAAGAATATATAAGATATCCGTATGAAAATAGTAAGTGCATGGAAAAGAATTCAAGAGTTAATAGACGTGCAAGAAAAAGGGGAAAAAAGAGCCCAACAAAAATAACTTTCAAATGTGTTCTTTTTAAATGCGCGAGGACATTCCGATGTAAATTTTTATGTTTTTTCGTGTCGTAAAAACTCCCCCAAATCTCTCCCCCAGATCGCGGAGATCAAATCCCCTCTATCTTCAGACACCAGATCACAAGGGGTGAAGATGTGCGTACGAACGCGGTGAAAATAAATGCGAAAACCGCTTATATTCACGCAGTAAAACTGCCCGTATATACGCTGCATAACACTGCCCGTAAATACGCAGTAGATCCGCTCGTAAATACGCAGTAGATCCGCCCGTAAATACGCAGTAGATCCGCCCATAAATACGCTGTAGATCCGCCCGTGAATACGCAGTAGATGCGCCCGTAAATACGCTGTAGATCCGCTCGTAAATACGCAGTAGATCCGCCCGTAAATACGCAGAAGATCCGTCCATAACATACGCAGGAGATCCGCGGCGCCCGTAAATACGCAGTAGATCCGCCCGTAAATACGCAGTAGATCCGCCCGTAAATACGCAGTAGATCCGCCCGTGAATACGCAGAAGATCCGTCCATACATACGCAGGAGATCCGCGGCGCCCGTAAATACGCAGTAGATCTGCCCGTAAATACGCAGTAGATCCGCCCGTAAATACGCAGTAGATCCGCCCGTAAATACGCAGTAAATCCGCTCATAAATACGCAGTAGATCTGCCTGTAAATACGCAGTAGATCCGCCCGTAAATACGCAGTAGATCTGCCTATAAATACGGAGTCGATCCGCCCGTATATAGACAGTAGATCCGCCCGTAACTACACAGTAGATCCGCCCGTAAATACACAGATCCAGCGGATCTCACCCGTAGTGGGGGGCAGGGTTGGCCTGAGCGGCGCAGATCATCGCCACGGATCCCGCGGATCCCACGCCTTTAAAGCGCTTCTTCGCCTCCAGCAGGAGATCTGGAGCGCTGTAAACCAGGGGATCTGCCAGATCAAAGGTCAGAGGGTTGTGGTCATTCAGATCAATGGACCGAGGAATTAAGATCTGTAGTATCAGGGGTTCAGAGGTCAGAAGGTTGTGATCAGACAAATTAATGGACGGAAGAGTTAAGATCTGTTAGATCAAAGGGTCAAAGGGGTTAGAAACTGCTAGATCAGAGAGGGCAAGAGGATAGGATCTGGGATAGGAAGCCAAAAGGTAAGGATCTGACAGATCAGGAGTAAAGACTTAAAGAATAGAAGAATTAGATCGAGATCAATAGAAAGTCGAACTCGATCCTCAAGATCAGTGTTCAGATTGACAGTCAGGGTAGTAAAATGTCAATAAAACAAATATAATAACAAACAATGAAGGAAATAACAAATGATATAACAAAGGAAATAAATAAGGAAATAACAAAGGAAGTGAATAAGGATATAATAAAGGAAATAAATAAGGAAAGAACAAAGAATATAACAAAGAAAATGAAAGAGGCTGGTTATCGTTGTTGAGGTGTGAGTTGGTTTTGTGCTGGAGCAGGCGTCAAGTCGAGGGTTCAAACCCCAACAATCTGTGAACATGTTTTTGTTTTGTTTACATGTCAAGTGAACAAAAGCGACACTGCCTGCAGTGTCGCTTTTGCAGGCAGTGTTTATATCGCGACGGATCTTTCTCAAGCGGATCTTGTGCGGATCTTAATCGGGCGGATCTTACTTGGATGAATCTTAATTGGGCGGATCTTACTTATGCGGATCTTACTTGGCCGTGATCTTATACGGATGGATCTTAAAAAAGTGCGATTTCGCAAAAAGTTTTTGGGGAAATGTTCCCCACGCGCCTCCCACCCAAGTCCTCCGCGTCATTTCCCCTGACCCCCGGGGCCTTTGCCTTCTTCCCCAGGATTGAAAACCCCAAATTTTCACCCCCAAAAGTCCCTCCCCTTTGAGATCTGCAGGATTAGCGAGATCACTGGGACCTTTGAGATCTGCAGGATTCAAGAGATCACTGGGACCTGCGAGATCTGCAGGATTCAAGAGATCACTGGGACCTGCGAGATCTGCAGGATTAGCGAGATCACTGGGACCTTTGAGCTCTGCAGGATTCAAGAGAACACTGGGACCTGCGAGACCTGCAGGATAAGTGAGATCACTGGAACCTTTGAGATCTGCAGGATTAGCGAGATCACTGGGACCTTTGAGCTCTGCAGGATTCAAGAGAACACTGGGACCTGCGAGACCTGCAGGATAAGTGAGATCACTGGGACCTTCGAGATCTGCAGGATTTGTGAGATCACTGGGACCTTTGAGATCTGCAGGATTTGTGAGATCACTGGGACCTTTGGGAACGGCAGGATTCACGAGATCAATGGGACCTGCGAGATCAGCAGGATTAGCGACATCACTGGGACCTTAGAGATCTGCAGGATTAGCGACATCACTAGGACCTTAGAGATCTGCAGGATTTACGGGATCACTGCATGGGACCTCGAGATCACGGGGACCTGTAAAACGGGATCACTGGGACCTGTAAAATATGAAGGATTTCACTGGTCCCAATTTTCCCAGGTTCCCCCAAAGGATCTTCACCATTGGGTAGGGATCTGTGGGATCTTACCGGTGCTGGGGTACAGGAGAGGCCTGTGCGTTGCAGATCATGGCAACTGATCTGCCAGATCTTGTTTCCCTGGCTAGCACCTTAGCCTCTACCGGTAGATCAGGAGCTGAGCTGCCTAAAGGATCTGCAGATCACCACGAAGAGTGAAGATCTCATCAGATCAGTAATTGGTGTCAACGCAAATAAATGGGCATAGGATAAGAAAGAGGAAATTCGAATTAGAAGTGAAACCAGAAATAAAAGATTTGATACTTAAATTAAGAATTGATATTAAATTAATTAACATAAGATGGAGTGACTGGCATGATAAGATAAGAAATATTTGAAAATGTGTTAGGGCATCTAATAGAATTAGGATAGAGTAAAGAAAATAGAAACGAAAACACTATAAAAATGAGATAGAATTTGATAACGAATGTTGAAAAAAAGAAGTGTGATCAAAAATGTTGAAAAAGAAGTGTGATCGCGTGTGATTATTTTTCGAAATAAATTATTTTTTCTTGGCTAAAGGTTAGGAATTTTATATTTAATATGCCGTGGCACATTAACCTTGCACGCCGTGGCACATTAACCTTGCGCGCCGTGGCACATTTACCTTGCGCGCCGTGGCACATTAACCTTGCACGCCGTGGCACATTAACCTTGCGTGCCGTGGCACATTAACCTTACGCTCCGTGGCACATTGACCTTTTCTCAAAACCTTGTTCTTATGTCAAAACCTGCAAAACCTTTTCTCAAAACCATCCTTAACCAACTATACGTTGGTTAACGATGGTCGTACCACACGGCGACCATCAACGATAAATCGTATGGTACTTTAACCTTTTAAGGGGACCGACCTGGCTAAAATTTTCAATTTTGGCGTTTTCCACTTTTTGGGCTCATCTTAAAGC